GAAAAAGAGTAATGTTATAGAATACAGAGCACAGAAATAAAGCCGAATACCTACAACCCATTGTTCTTTGAGAAAAATGACAAAAAATATACACTGGAGAAACAACCCTCTATTCAGTAAGTGGTGCTGGGAGAATTGGACAGCCACATGTAGAAGAATAAAACCAGACTTCCATCTTACCATAGACAACAATTAACTGAATATGGATTCAATATTTAAGTGTATTAACTGAATCTATAAAAATACTTGAAGAAAATATAGGGGACAGTTCTCGGGACATTGGCCTAGGCAAACAAAATATGACTAAGACTTCAAAAGGAAATGCAATGAAAAAAAGTAGACAAACAGGACTCAACTGAACTAAAGATCTTCTGCAAAGAAAAAGAAATAATCAACTTGGTGAACAAACAGCCTGCAGAATTGTAGAAAGTATCATCTCACATCAGTTAAGATGGCTGTTGTCAAAAAAGAAAAACACGCTAACAAATGCTGGTAAGGACACAGAGAAAAGAAAACTCGTATGCATTGCTGGAGTGAATGTAAACTAGTACAGTCACTGTGAAGAGCAGTGTGGAGGTGCCTCGAAAGTACAAATAGAACTAACAAATGATCCAGCAGTTCCACTACTGTATTTTTATATATATATATATATATACTTTAAAATCTGGGATACATGTGCAGAACATGCAGATTTGTTACACAGGTATACAGGTGCCATAGTGGTTTGATGTACCCATCAACCAGTCATCTACATTAGGTGTTCCTCTAATTCTACCCTTCCCCTTGGCCCCCACCCCCACCTTCTGATATGCCCCAGTGTGTGATGTTCACCTCCCTGTGTCCATGTGTTCTCATTGTTCAACTCCCTCTTATGAATGAGAACATGCGGTGTTTGGTTTTTTGTTCTTGTGATAGTTTGCTGAGAATTATGGTTTCCACATTCTCTCCAGCATCTGTTGTTTCCTGACTTTTTAATGATTGCCATTCTCACTGGTGTGAGATGGTATCTCATTGTGGTTTTGATTTGCATTTGTCTAATGACCAGTGATGGTGAACTTTTTTTCATACGTTTGTTGGCTGCATAAATGTCTTCTTTTAAGAAGTGTCTGTTCATATCTTTTGCCACCTTTTTGGGGGGTTGTTGGTTTTTTTCTTATAAATTTGTTTAAGTTCTTTGTAGATTCTGGATATTAGTCCTTTGTCAGATGGATAGATTGCAAAAATTTTCTCCCATTCTGTAGGTTGCCTGTTCACTCTGATGGTAGTTTCTTTTGTTGTGCAGAGACTCTTTATTTTAATTAGATCCCATTTGTCAATTTTGGCTTTTGTTGCCATTGCTTTTTGTGTTTTAGTCATGAAGTCTTTGCCCATGCCTATGTCCTGAATGGTATTGCCCACGTTTTCTTCTAGGGTTTTTATGGTTTTAGGTCTTATGTTTAAGTCTTTAATCCACCTTGAGTTAATTTTTGTGTAAGGTGTAAGGAAGGAGTCCAGTTACTGTTTTCTGCATATTGCTTGCCAGTTTTCCCAACACCATTTATTAAATAGGGAATTATTTCAGCGTTGCTTGTTTTTGTCAGGTTTGTCAAAGATCAGATGGTTGTAGATGTGTGGCATTATTTCTGAGTTCTATGTTCTGTTCCCTTGGTCTATATATCTGTTTTGGTACTAGTACCATGGGATTTTGGCTACTGCAGCTTTGTAGTATAGATTGAAGTCAGATAGCGTGATGCCTCCAGCTTTGTTCTTTTTGCTTAGTTGGCTATACAGGCTCTTTTTGGTTCCATATGACATTTAAAGTAGTTTTTTTCTAATTCTGTGAATAATGTCAATGGTAGCTTGAGGGGATAGCATTGAATCTATAAATTACTTTGGGCAACATGGCCATTTTCACAACACTGGTTTTTCCTATCCATGAACATGGAATATTTTTCCATTTGTTTGTGTCCTCTCTTATTTCCTTGAGCAGTGGTTTGTAATTCTCCTTGAAGAGGTCCTTCACATCCCTCATAAGTTGGATTCCTAGGTATTTAATTATCTTTGTAGCAGTTGTGAATGGGAGTTCACTCATGATTTGGCTCTCTGTTTGTCTGTTATTGGTGTATAGGAATGCTTGTGATTTTTGCACATTGATTTTGTATCCTGAATCTTTGCTGAAGTTGCTTACCAGCTTAAGGAGATTTTGGGCTGAGACAATGGGGTTTTCTAAATATACAATCATGTCATCTGCAAACAGAGACAATTTGACTTCCTCTCCTCCTATTTGAATACCCTTTATTACTTTGTCTTGCCTGATTGCCCTTGCCAGAACTTTCAATACTATGTTGAATAGGAGTGGTGACAGACGGCATCCTTGTTATGTACCAGCTTTCAAAGAGAATGCTTCCAGCTTTTGCCCATTCAGTGTGATATTGACTGTGGGTTTGTCATAAATAACTCTTATTATTTTGAGATACGTTCCATCGATACCAAGTTTATTGAGAGTTTTTAGCATGAAGGCATGTTGAATTTTATCGAAGGCCTTTTCTGCCTCTATTGAGATAATCGTGGTTTTTGACATCGGTTCTGTTTATGTGATGGATTATGTTTATTGATTTGCATATTAACATATTGCCAGCCTTGCATCCCAGGGATGAAGCCGATATGATCGTGGTGGATAAGCTTTTTGATGTGCTGCTGGATTCGGTTTGCCATTGTTTTATTCAGGATTTTCGCATCATTGTTCTTCTGGGATATTGGCCTGAAATTTTCTTTGGTTGTTGTGTCTTGTGCAGAGTCTTGACTTTTCCTTTTTTTTTTTTTTATGGAGTCTTGCTCTGTCGCCCAGGCTGGAGTGCAGTGGCGCGGTCTCAGCTCACTGCAACCTCTGCCTCCTGGGTTCAAGCGATTCTACTGCCTCAGCCTCCCGAGCAGCTGGGACTACAGGCGCACACCACCACACCAGGGTAATTTTTGTGTTTTTATTAGAGATGGTGTTTCACCATATTGGCCAGGCTTCTATCAAACTCCTGCCCTAGTGATTCACCCGCCTTGGCCTCCCAAAGTGCTGGGATTACAGGCGTGAGCCACTGTGCCCGACCAGTGTAATTTCTTAATTCTGTAATGGGGATACAGGAAGTGAGTCTGAGTGGATTTCAGAAGTGTGGGCTCTTTTTTCTTTCCCAGACAGACACATTGGGACAGAAAGATTTCTGTGACTGTCCCCATTTTTGGGAAAAGGGATTCAAGAGGATATGAAAGCTCTTCATGATGTGATTCTTTAGATATTCACACTGCAACATGTTGACCACACTCGACTTCAAGTAATCCAATATATACTTGTGTTTTTAGTTATACATTACATTTTACGTGACAGGCTCTGCTTCAGTTCAGCTCATACCCTGGCATTGTTACTCTCTACAAGAAATTGCCTCCAGCTAGATTTCAGATTTGATGTTTATCTTAAAACTTCGAGCATCTACAGTATTAAAAAATTTGCAAAATTCTGTCTTCTTGGCTTGTGTTATTGTTGATGTTATTGTAAAAAAAATAAGTAAAATATATTCTTCATATGTACATTTCCAAGCTGAGTAGCAGATTTTTTAGTAAGACCAAGAGTAATAAAAGAATGGAAATATTTGTAAGCTGCTTAATAGAAAAACAAATAATGGTGAGCTTGTTCACTGTAATACTGCCCATTATGTGTAATAAATAAATGTCTGATACACATGACAACAAGGTTAAATATGTAAGTATTTATGTTGAGTAAAATAAGCCAAACAAATAAGAGTATATACTACGTTATTTCATGTTTATAAATTCTTATAAGTAAAAATGCATTTAAAGTAATATAATGAAGATCAGTAGTTGCCAGGGGCGATGATAGAAGAAGGGAAGGGGAAAGGAGGAGGAATATTGCAGAACAAGAGGAAATGTTGAGAATTCACTCGTCCACTTTCTTGATAATGATGTACAGTTACATCATGTTTATTAATTGTGCATTAATATGTGAAGTTTATTATCTTTCAATTAAGCCTCATAAAATGTATTACAAGGCCGGGCGCGGTGGCTCACGCCTGTAATCCCTGCACTTTGGGAGGCCGAGGCGGGCGGATCACGAGGTCAGGAGATCGAGACCATCCTGGCTAACACGGTGAAACCCCGTCTCTACTAAAATGCAAAAAATTAGCCGGGCGCGGTGGCGGGCGCCTGTAGTCCCAGCTACTCGGAGGCTGAGGCAGGAGAATGGCGCGAACCCGGGAGGCGGAGCTTGCAGTGAGCCGAGATGGTGCCACTGCACTCCAGCCTGGGCGATAGAGTGAAGACTCCGCCTCAAAAAAAAAAAAAAAAAAAAAAAAAATGTATTACAAGCAAACAAATGGAAACCTAGACAAGGAAGGAGTAACCAAAAGATACAAAAATATGTTAAATGTCAGAAGTACCTGAAAATTAGTGTGGCTGGACCCTAGTTCTCTCCATATTTTCAGGTGGAGCTGGAGTGCGGCAACATCACACATGCTCTTATTACACAAAGTGGGTTCTGAAAACCACACTAAGGACATCAGCTTTGTCCTGGAGTTGGTTAGGGAGCAGTCAGAGCCAGTGATGAGGAGCACAGGGCCAGATACCGGGGTTCACTCAACCCAGACATGAGCTTCTAGATGCATACAGAGCCCCCTCCATGTGTGGGTTCACTTCCACATCCATAAATGGAGAAAATATTGACTCCTATAGAACATAATGTACACAATTATTTAAACAGGAAATAGGTTCATCAGAGCAAAGTGTTTATCACAGCACAATTTCATAATGTGGCATAATTTCCAAATAACATCATTATCAGCAAACTTCTTCAGAGCACGGTCTTTTTACAGCCTACTCCTCAAGCGTCGCACACTAGAGTTCGTTATATATTAGGAGATGTGCAAATAGGGTCCTCCTTCTACTGATGAAAACCAACCCAACCCTGACCCTGCAGCTCCGAGAGAGGAGCCTTAGCCCTGGATTCCAAGAACTTCCACTTGGTGATCAGCCCTGAACACAGATCGCCAACCATGGAGTTTGGACTGAGCTTGGTTTTCCTTGTTGCTATTTTAGAAGGTGATTCATGGAAAGCTAGAGAGATTGAGTGTGAGTGCATATGACTGAGATAAACAGTGAATATGCGTGGCAGTTTCTGACCAGGATGTCTCTTTGTTTGCAGGTGTCCAGTGTGAGGTGCAGCTGGTAGAGTCTGGGGGAGGCTTGGTACAGCCTGGCCGGTCCCTGAGACTCTCCTGTGCAGCCTCTGGATTCACTTTCAGTAGTTATGGCATGCACTGGGTCTGCCAGGCTCCGGAAAAGGGGCTGGAGTGGGTTTCATACATTGGTAGTAGTACCATGTACTACGCAGGCTCCGTGAAGGGCCGATTCACCATCTCCAGAGACAATGCCAAGAACTCGCTGTATCTGCAAATGAACAGCCTGAGAGCTGAGGACACGGCTGTGTATTACTGTGGGAGGACATGGTGAGGGGAAGTCAGTGTGAGCCCAGACACAAACCTCCCTGCAATGATCCCCGGGACCATCAGGGGGCACCCGGGATACTGTGCTCGGGGCTGTCTCCAGGCCCAGTGCAGGTGCTGCTAAGAGCTGGCTTTTCTGTCTTGGTCTGGTGATGCCTCAGTGTCAAATTTCCCCAGGGAACTTCTCTAGATTTGCAATTCTGTACTAACATTTCATGTCTCTAAATGCAAAACTTTTTTTCCAATTCTGTTTCTGTTTTGTTTTTTGTTTGTTGTTGTTGTTGTTACAGAAGGATACATCCTCACCTTCACAGAAGCCAGAGTGTCACTCTAGGGGCAGAAATAATCCTTTCGCGGTCAACAGGATGAGAGTTCTGAGGATGCCCCCGGAATCTGGAGAGTGTTTTCTATTTAGACTCAGGGCAGAGACCTTCATGGGAATTTCTGATTAGAACAGGCTTTGAGTTCTGATAGGAGCCAAGAGAGAGGCTCGCCCAGGGCCAGGGTCCTTAAAACCTTATGGTTTTCATGGCTATCACCTCTCGTCTTGTAAAACTAGGCACGTCTGACTCAGACTGATTCAGTTGACCCTCTTTCTGCAAATCCATTTTCCTTCTCTGTAGACTTGATTCTCACAGTCTACTTTCTCCTTCTCTTCCCTGAAAACAGAGATGTGTTTTCTGTAGTGAAATTCCCAGGGCTTGGGTCTGCAGGAACTGGGTAGGCTGAGGGAACTTTCTCACTCACCATTGCCTGGACACTCCTGCTGTCTTCTGTGCATGGAGGCATTTGGAAAATGGGGTGGACATTAGCCAAGAAGGGAATAATACTAGTTTTGTCCAATGGAATACTGATGTAGCGGTGATGTTGGGCTTCTGACACTGTCACATATTTGCACTCTCACCTGTGATTTTGAGGAGAGCTGAGGATGGACACTCCATTGTACTCTGAGCTCTGGGTAACAGTAATTGTAGGATCCGGCTAGGCATGCCGATCTAGAATTCCTAATCTAGAAGTAACCAGAAAAATGGACACCCAGCAGCCCATGCCACTGCTCTGCCTATGGAGTAGCCATTCTTTATTCTCTTACTTTCCTAACAAACTTGCTTTCATTTTACTTTGTGGATTCACCCCGAATTGGGACCCCTTTCTGGTAACATTTGTGTTATTATTGGTTTTCTAAACAGAAAACTCCAAGAAGTGATGAAGATTCCCTGCATTTTTTAATAACTACATCCACCCCTTGGAGAGAAAATGCACAGGGGGTGGAATGAGCCTAGGAAGCTGAAGGCATATGATGGAAGCCTGTGTCTAAGTGAAGGAGAGAGAGAGGGTGGATTGGATGGAAGTTTCTTACATTGCTGTGCTGTGCAAGGAAGATGCAAAATATAATTAAGTCTTGTGCAAGTCAGTGCTACCTCTCAGGGAATCCTCATGACTCCCAGAAATGGCTCTGCTTAGGAATAGCTGTGGAGTCAGTCCTTTCATTGGAGTAGACCACAGGACATGGGCCTCAGCACATGACATGCCACAGATGTCAGAAAGCAGCTGCTGGAAACCTGATCCACCTGCATTTTGCTGCCTGTAGGATGACAGAGGGAGGTGCATTCTCAGGGTCAACACAGTGTTTGTGGATTTTTATAGAGAACACCTGCTTTTACTGTATTTTATTGGAAAATATATGAACAAGCATGCACCTGTGAACAATTGTACTTTTCACATTTATTTCCCTTGCATTATTTATTAATTCTACATGAGGCTTTGGCACAGAGTTGAGTTTCTTCGTGGGTATTGTTCAAAGGATCGAGAACATGCATTTTCACTGGTTTTTCTTGATGTGCAGACACCTTGAGTAGAGCACATCTGGCCCTTATCCACACTACCTCTTGTGTCCTCTGGAAAAGAGCAGAGATTTGTCTGACTGCAGAATCTGGGGTAGGAGTCTGCACACCTCTGAGCCTGCAGAGAAGCCCAGAGAAGTTTTATGGAGTCAGAGGGCTATCCCATGTAGGGGAACCTCTAGCTCCCCCACTGCCAGAGATTGCTGGCCAGCTGTAATTGAGGGGTTCAGTATTAGAGCACCTGGGAGCCTATCTCAACACAGCTCCGTTATGTAACTTATCACCATTAGACTGCAGGTAATAACTCAATCTTGATTTTTCTGACCTGATTTTCTCATTTATTTGTAAGTTCGGTTATAGAAAATGTTATCTTTTGGTTTATGATTAAAACCTCAGAATTTTTTGAACTTTTCAGGAATAATACCAAATGTGTCCAGTTTGGGGGAAATGTAAATGAATGTCCATGTAATTTGTGTGTGTGTGTGTGTGTCTGTGTGTGTGTATGTCAGCCAGTTACACCCCTATGAACATAATTGCTTAATTATACAGTCAAACTACAACGAGATTTGCTGAAAATTGCCTGCAGTGTTGTCTGTGACGGTGACCCTGTCACCTTACTATGATGAAGCTCAGTGTACAGGCAAGTACACATGGGAGAGCTAACAGGTTCAGCCCCCAGGACAGGCTGAGCTCCTGAACTGGAGCCAGACATAGGACTGGGCATCTCAGAAGCAGATCCCCCAGCCCTCCTTTATCTGGGCTGCATGGGCAGCAGAGGACCAGCAGGAGATGCTCAGAACTCACAAAAGGCAGAGCCCCAGTGAGGAGCAAATGCAGCGAGGAACCAGCCAGGGAGCCTCTGACTACCATCTAGGGTTGTCTTATTTGCTTAACAGCATCCAACCCTCAGGAGACCATTCATCATGTTCCTTAGACCTCATGCCCTTCATGTCCCAAAGAAAAATAGACATAAAAATGACTCTGCAGTTAGCTCTTTGAACCTGGGTTATTTTTCTTAGAATGTCACCTTCATCATCAGCATCATGGTCATCATGTCAAATTCAACACGCAAATCTAGTCACTGTAAAGACAGTTTCATGGAGTGATTCATGTAAAATCATGCCATTCTACAGAGAATCTATTTCAGATTCCGAAGGTGGATTACACTGTTGTATTTAACTGCCAATTGTGAAATTGGTGGAAGTCATTAAACAAAAGGAAAAGTCTCTGACCTCTTATGGGGCCATGTTTCTAGAAAATCATTGTGATCCTGAGCCTGAGTGTGACATTCCAAGTGTTCCTGACCCTCCTTCAGATGAGATGCTGGTCTGTGTGTTCTTGACCCTTCCGCTGGGGTAGAGTTCTCCTGTTTTCTTCAGTTCTTCCCTCCCACTGCTCTAATGTTCCCTATTGATGTCACCATCTTCCAGATCTGCTGCCATGACCTGCAGATTAAGGCTCTGATTTTGTAAGAGAGGGGAGATTCTTCTCAATAGATCAGTGAGTTCCTCATCTCCACGTGAGACCACCTCAGCCTGGACATCATTGTTCAAAAAATATCAGCATTTTTGTCAAAGCCAAGTAAGTCTCTAGGAAGTTCCAAACTATCCCACATTTTCCTGTCTTCTTCTGAGTCCTGGAGACTGTTCCAATCTCTGCCCATTACCCAGTTCCAAAGTCGCTTCCACATTTTTGGTTATCTTTTTCAGCAATGTCTCACTCTACTGGTACCAATTTACTGTATTAGTCTGTTATCATGCTGGTTCCAACCCTGGACAATTTACAAAAGAGGTTTATTGGACTTACAGTTCCATGTGGCTGGGGAGGCCTCACAATCATGGCAGAAGGTGAAAAGCACATCTGGTGGCAGGCAGGAGAAGAGAGATCGTGCAGGAAAACTCCCCTTTTAAAACCATCAGATCTCGTGAAACTCATTCACTATCACGAGAACAGCACAGGAGAGACCTGCCTCCATATTTCAATCACCTTCCACCAGGTTCCTCCCACGATGTGGGGATTGTGGGAGCTACAACTCAAGATGAGATTTGCATGGGGACACAGACAAACAGTATCACTGATCCTTCTTCACATCATCTCTCATGACCCCAGGGAAAGAGCAGAGATTTGACTGACTGCAGAATCTGGGGTAGGAGCTGCTCCTTCTGAACTTAAAGCATTCAGAGGCCCCCAGCCCAGTTTTATGGAGTAATAGAGTTTTCCCACGTCTGGGGACCCCTAGTGTACCCATGGCCCCATTGCTGGTTGGGTGTAACTGAGGGGTTCAGAATTAGAGCACCTGCTAGCCTATCTCACCGCTGCCCCATTATGTAACTTACCACCATCAGACTTCAGGCAAGGGCTCCATATTAATTTTTCTGACACAATTTTCTTACCTCATTTATTTGTAAGTTTGTTTATAGAATTTTATTTTACTTTAAGTTCTGGGATACATGTGCTGAACCTGCAGGGTTCAGTTCCTTATTCAAGCCTTAGAATTGCCCAACTCATCAAGAATAATACAAAATGTGTCCATTTTTGGGGAAATGTAAGTGAACATCCAAGCACAATTTTTTGTGTGGATATATCAGTTACACCCCTATGAACATAATTGCTGGTCCTCACCAGAAATTGCTGGTCCTCACCAATCTCAAAAGCATCTAGATCTTCAACTTTCTAGCCTTGAGAATTCAGAAAAATATGTTTATGTTATTTCTGAGCCACCCATTTTATGGAGTTCTGTTATAGCAGCTGAAATAGACTAAAACGTTTGCCAAGTGTCATTAAGGGCAGTGAGGTTCCACCGTACTTGAGAGACGAGCATTACTCTCTCATTTGCAGCTCAGGATGACAGAAACTTGACCTTGAGGTGATCTGAAAAGAAGATGGTGCTTCCTCTCCCTCAGATCTCAGTTGAAGCCATGGTGTCAGATCCCTACGGTGGAGGCTAAATTCCAGTCTGTGAGGTGATGGATGCCTGTCTCCTCCCAGCCTCACTTATGAGACAGAGTTTTCTTGCCATGCACTATAGATCAAGAACAGAGGGACCCCAATTATTCTCACCCCTGCTCACTTATATGGCAGAGGTTCTCGGAAGTTTCCTGGTAAAGGCACAACGAGACTATATGAGTCCACGACTCCCATACAATTTTCTTCTCTTAAAGCAGGAATGTCACTTTGAGATATATGAATAATTTCCTGTGCACCAAGGCAAAGGCTGTTATATTTTTATAGGTAAAGATGCAGGGCACAAAAACAGATACAGCACGCTCTAAATTGTGTGACT